ACCTCCAAGATACCCGAAACCCACGGCTGTCTCCCAAGTGCCTTCCCGACTGGGACAGAATCTGAAGCTAGGATTCACTTTCCGTGGTCAGACCAGGTCAAATCTGATTCTTAGGTTCCTGTGATCTGGGCCTTCACCCAAAAGCTGGTCCAAAACCAACCTTTAGAGGTGGATGGACAAGTGTAATCTTTCCAAGATACTGACCCTCAGACATTTTATTATGCAAAACTCATCAAGAGCGGCCGCGGCTTCCTGACTTATACAACATTCTTTCGACTCGTTTCAACAAAGGCCAGTGCAGGCCCCACGTGTCACTGACACAGTCACTGACGAGTATTCTCTGGATTTACTGGACTGCACTTCCATTTGTCGAAGTAACTAAAAGACGACAAACAACGTGTGGCTTTAGAGGCCTGTGCCCCATCGGGTGGTCAAGCTGGAAATATCAAACAATGTCCAGCAAGGCAAGTTAACCAGAACTAATCAACATAATACCTTGGGGAAATTGATGCCTACAACACAAGCCTTCCCCTGGGACAGAGCCATAAATGAAACTCACAATGTTCTAGCAGGCAGTGAAAAAAAAAAAAAGGGTCAGTGTGGTTCATTCCAAATTTCTCCGTTCTTAAGTCAACTCGTGTGATCATCTTTTTTTTTTTTTTAAAGTTAAATAAAAAAGGGTTTCATTGGACCAGCTTCCCATTTTCGTCCAATTTTTCTGGAACGAAACCATTCACTTGAAAGGGTGAGATTTGCAACAGTCCTTTTACATTATTGTCTTTTCCGTAGAGCAAACACAATTGAGTCACAAGAACAAACACAACTTCAGAGCTGGATGGCTCCAGAGAAGACAAATGGCTAAGTCCTGTGTCCCTAACTACAGATGAAGCCCCGAAAGCCAGAGATCAGGGTGGTCGTGGGGGGCGTCTACAGTGGATCCTTGTGGCTAGGGTGCCCCCAAATCCCAATGCTAACACATCTGTACCCAGCCCTCTCCACGTCCGTCCCCTTCTCTGGACCTGAGTTTCCCAGTCTGAAAACACACTGTGGTGAATCATTTCTAATTCTCTTTAAGCTTGAAGATCTGGAAATGCAGACACCTCATTATTTTAGAATCTTATAAAACTACAGCAGACACTGGTGGGGGGAGGGGAGGGAGAAAAATTCCCTCGTTCCTGGGAAAAAAGCAGCCCAGGATCCGAGGGAAGAAAACACCAGTCGGCAACCCAAAGCGCCAAATATATTTGCTGCTTTCGCTAATATTCTGTCAAATATTAACAAGGTCATACTAGTCTATTTGGGTGGAAACTGGTCTGAGTTTGAGCTGATTAATTAACTACAGAGCTCCAAAATCTATAAGCACGGGTTTTAATTTTTTTTAAGGGTTCTTTTAAAGGTCTACTGATGTTCTCTTTCACATGCCAAAAAATTCTGTTCAAATGTTACTGGAAGCAGGCATGTCTCTGTTCAATTGTGCTTATTCTCTGAAAAAAAAAAAAAAGATTCACAAATGGATCAAAGCGCTTTGCCTTATATGGTCTCCCCCTGTTGCTCTCTCAGCCTTTGTTTTATTATTGGGCCTATGAAGACCATGGAACTGGGAACTCCACAACATTTACTTTTAAATTAGAAACTAATAATTTACAGGAGGCTGACAGGTCATTATCTTTAGTGACTTGAATCCAATGAACAAAAAAAGAAAAAACATTAAAAGTAAAAATTTGAAACAAACAAACAAACAAAAAAAGGAACCATAAGCTAGAATAGACCTTGGAAAGTTCTAGCCCCATGTTCTTTTATGCAAGAGGAAAGAGCTCAGGAAAGGGAAAAACATTTTCCGAGGGGGTCTGACTGATTCTTCCACAAGAACTACCACTTACTGGGTGACCAGGTATACATAATCATCCATGTAATTACAGATGTAAAACCGAACGTTCGGCTTCTGTCTAATATTCTGTTTATGTCAGGGAAAATTTGAAGATAGCAAAATAATGCAAAAACAAAAGCAGCCGAACAGTTCCTAGTGGCTCACAGCACCTTAGGCTAGAGATCAAAGGCGACAACACACACAAAAAGTGTCACCACCAGAGGCCGAAAAACAAATTTAAATCTGTTCTCCCTACAGGAGGTTGTTCTGCTCTAGTAACGGTTAACATCTTTTGTAATTTTCACTTTTCCCACCAAAGTTTCTGTTTTGTTCTAAAAGCCACTCTATTTTACACCTCTTATTTATATATATTTTTTTAAGGAACAGCAATGGCTCTCAACAACATACAACACACAGACCCCAGCCCTACATTTAAAAAAAAAAAAAACAACTTTAAAGGCATCAATTCACTCAAGTGCCCCTTATTGAATTTTGCCTCCCAAACAATGAGCTTCTCGGGGACCAGAGTCACAAAGTGGGGACTTTGCAAATCCAATTTCAATGATTCACAATAAGTGGATTTTTTTCCAGACTTCATGTCTCGCTGGCCCGGAAAGGAGCAAGCGGTGGCAAAATGTGCTCGGAAGTCCTGTCTCTGTCGCTCTCTCTGTTGACCAAAGGGACAACACAAAGCAAGAGCCCAGGGCTAAGGCGGAGGAAAGGGGACTTTGCAGCATCTCCCAAGGGGCTGGCTCTGGCCACCAAGCCGAGGCGACAAACCCAGCGGTCACTGCATTCTCCAAAGCAACTGGCTGTTTTTCCTTTCCAACAGGGTCATTCCGCACCCCACCAACACACAAGCAAGGGGACCCAGCCCCACCTCGACCCCAGCCCATGAGCTGCAGCTGGGGCGCGCCGGTCCCAGGGCCTGTCCTAGCGAGAACTGGCAGTGGTGCTGAAAATCACTCAGGGAGAGAGATGCACGCCCCGGACTCCATGGAACCGTCTCTCCGGGCAAAGCATCCTCTGGACCCGGGCCAAAGGCTTAAAAAAAAAAAGAAAGAAAGAAAAGGACCCGATGCTATTGAAGGCAATAAATCACAAACAACTGGACAGCAAGGCAAGGCAAGGCAGGAGAGCTCTCGCTAGCCTCTGAGTTTGCATCCTAAACAAAGGTGGCCACAGGGTGCCATCAGAAAATTAAGTGACAAGGGAGCACGGGCAATCCCAGGCCTGTCACCTCCAGCAACGCTTTGCATCCACTGCAGCTGGGAGGTGCATGGACCAGACCCCCTGGGGTCGGTTCCACTCACCCGCCTTTGGGGGAGACCCCAAGCCTGGCAGCAACCAGATCCCCCCTGGGCTGGGAGAAACTAACTTGGCACAGGACCCCCAACCCCGCCCCACCCCCAATCACTTAAACAAATCCCAGGCAGCTGAGCAGGACCCCACTCCCAAACTCCAGCCTGGGTTCTACTGCCATACTGATTTCTGACGCTTTGTTCCCGTCACTGGAGAAATTCCTGGAGGTTAGAGATTTAAAAAAAAAAAAAAAAAAAAAAAAGAAAGAAAGAAAGAAAAGTGTTTTCTTTTCCCTGAGGTCCCGGGAGGGTACTGAGCCCGGAGCTCCCAGCCCTGCAGGTAGGGAGGCAGGGAGGCAGGGAAGCAGGTCGAGGCCCACCTCCTGGGTCTGCAACCCCCCCCCCCTTATCTTTCCTGGCCTTGCTCAGTGGGGGTGGGGGGTCTGGGGAACGCAGGACCCCCTTAATCGTGCTCACAAAACCTCCAGCGTGGGGGATGGGGGGCCGGAGGGGCCGAGTCGGGGGCCCTGATCTCCATCATCACCCACAGGTCTTGTCTGCAAAGTCCAGGGGACCCAAGTACTCTGCTCTGGGGGGGGGGGGGTGCCCACCCGGGCAGAGACCACCACAACGATGCTCTCCCTCCAGGGGCCCTCTTCGGGCTTCTCTATCACACACACACCCCTAAAAAACCAAAAACACCCCCAAAAACCCCTTCCAGGTCCGTGCCCAAAGGCAGCCAGGCGGGGGCCCAAGAGGGGATGACTTTTGGGGACTTCCCGCTCTGACACTCCCCCCAAAATTAAATTAATTAATTAAAACGCAGGCGCGTCACTACAGCGTTGGGGGTGCGAGTGGGGGGCTCCAAGCTGACCCCCGAGCCCCAGCCCCGAGAGAGCAGGTGGCTCAGGCACAAGCGAAAGAGGGGGAGGGGGTGGGGAAGGAAACGGAGCAAGTTTGGAGCAGGTCGCGGGTCCCCTGAGGAGAATGGGGGGGGAGGGGGAACAATCGGGGCGCCCCCTCCTCCCCCGAGGAACAGGAGACCCCCCTGAGGAGGTCGCACCCCCCTGAGGGAAGAGGAGGACAGCCGGGGACGCCCCCCCTGAGGTGGTCGCACCCCACCCTGAGGAGGTCGCAACCCCCCCCTGACGAGGTCGCGCCACCCTCTGAGGAGGAGGAGGAGGAAGGAGCTGGGCGACCCCCTGAGGAAGCTGCACCCCGGCTGAGGAGGTCGCGCCACCCCTGAGGAAGAGGAAGAGGAAGACAGCCGGGGCGCCCCCTGGGGTGGTGGTCGGTGCACCCCCCCCAGGTGGTCGCGCCTCCCTCCCTGAGGCGCAGGAGAGCCGGGGGCGGCCCCCCTGAGGAGGTCGCAACCCCCCTCTGCCGAGGTCGCGCCTCCCTCCCTGAGGAGCACGAGGCGAGCCGGGCGCCCCCTGAGGTGGTCGCGCCCCCTGAGGAGCAGGAGAGCCGGGGCGGCCCCCTGAGGAGGAGGAGGAAGAGGAGACAGCCGGGGCGCCCCCCTGAGGTGGTCGCACACCCCCCGACGAGGTCGCGGCCCCCCCTGAGGAGGAGGAGGAAGAGGAGACAGCCGGGGCGCCCCCCTGAGGTGGTCGCACACCCCCCGACGAGGTCGCGGCCCCCCTGAGGAGGAGGAGGCCAGCCGGGCGCCCCCCCTGCGGTGGTCGCGCCCCCCCGAGGAGCACGAAGCGAGCCGGGCGCCCCCTGAGGAGGTCGCGCTGCCCCCTGAGGCGGCGGCGGCGAGCCGGGCGCCCCCGGAGCGGGGAGCGGCGCGCGCGGCGCCCGTTGCGGCGGGAAGGTCAGGCGGCCGCTACCTCATACTGGATGTACTGCTTCCTCCACTCGGGCGTGATGTGCGCCGAGAGGTGCTCGGCGAACTTCATGCTGCCGCGGGCGCCTCGCTCCGCTCGGGCTCTCGCAGGCGGCGGCGGCGGCGGCAACGGCAGCGGCGGCGGCGGCGGCGGCTCCTCCCCACATGGGCCCCGGCGCGGCGCGGCGCGTCTCTCCTCCTCCGCCGCCGCCGAGGTCCCCTCAGAGCCGCCCTCCCGCCATCTTCCTCCTCCTCTCCGTGGCCCCGCCCCGCCCCGCCCTCCGACGTCATCGCCATGGTAACCGCCTCCGCCGCGCCGACGGCGGAGGCGGGGCCAGGGGCGGGGAAGGACGTGCGGCGCGCCGCGGCCACGCCCCCTTGGGAAAGCCACGCCCCCTCCTAGGAAACCGCGCCCCTTCGAAGAACGCGTCTCTCTGGGAAGCCACGCCCCCTTAGGAAACCACGCCTTTCAAGGAAACCACGCCTCCCTGGGAAACCACGCCTCCCCAGGAAACCGCTCCTCCCTAGAAAACCACGCCTCCCTAGGAAACCACGCCTCCCCAGGAAACCTCTCCTTTTAGGAAACCACGCCTCCCTAGCAAACCACGCCTCCCTAGCAAACCAGTCCTCCCAGGAAACCACGCCTCCCTAGGAAACCACGCCTCCCTAGGAGGCCACGCCCCCGGGGAGGCCGGGAGGCGCTGCGTGCTGCTCCTCCCCTCCCCCCCCTGCAGCCCCGCGGCCCGTTCAATCTGCTCCCGTTGGGCCTCCCAGCTGCGCCCGCTTGGGAAGCTGCCGTGGGGATGAGGCTGGTGGCTTGCGATCAGCATTAATGCGACAGCAACAGTACAACGGAGAGACACACGAGACGCTTTCTGATTTGCAAAAGGAAAAAAAAATAAGATTTATTTTTTGTTCCCCCCCTCCCCCAGGTTCGTCTTCCTGTAAAAAATAAAAACCCATCCGGATGGATCAGCCTCGGTTTCAAGACCCCGATGGTTCCCCACCACCACCCTGGCCGGGATGTGTGGAAGGGAACCGATAGAGCATGCTTTAGGCGCTCCATAAAGTGCTTGTTGACTTTAATGAGAGGCGTCAGGGCCAAAACTCCTGCTGCTTCTGAATTTCTCGCGATGTAATTAGCTTGTCCCAGGGCTACGAGGAAAACCGGTCACAACACCTGGACCTGGACTGGGATGGCGAGGGGTCCCACCTGGACCTGAGCTGAACAGCTGGGAGATTAATGATAGGGGGTGAGAAAGGAAATCAGTGCTGGGAAGAAAGAGAGGCCTCATAGCCCACCCCTCAGAGAGCGATCCAGGTGGAATTGTCATTGTCAGTGACAATGACAGTTGTCACCGTGGGGAATAGATCCCTCATGGCATGCTTCCGGTTTAGATATCCTGGTGGACCTGGTTTGACACAGAGAGCCAGGCCCCGAGTTGGTGGAGGAACTCTCCAGAATAAAATAATAGTTAACACTTAGCAAGCACAAACACTTTTCCAGCCCCTGACGTACACTCTGCTCTTTCATTCTTACAATGACAGCGCCTAAGTGTCTTCTTGGGGCCACACCCAGTTAGTGCTCAGGGCTGACTCCTGGCTCATGCACTCAGGAATCACTCCTGGTGGTGCTAAGGGGACGCTATGGGATGCTGGGGATCGAACCCGGGTCTGCTGCATGCAAGGCAAGTGTCCTCCCCACTGTGCTGTCTCTCAGGCCTTCCCAGACCTTTTATCCCAAGTTTACACACACACACACACACACACACACACACACACGTGAGTTCCTCCACCCCCTCTTTTTCTTCTTCCCTTAATTCATGCCAGTTACTCTGCATTCACTTCCTCAAGAGAGGGGTGGGGTAGGACAGGAAAGAGGTACAGACTCTGGGTCATTCTGACTTTTTTTTTTTTTTTTGCCAGACAAAAGTCCACATTCTGCCGCAGTCATAATCAGGCTCCTAAAAAAAGAAGGAAGATCTCGCCTCGCTAGCCAGCTGCCCTCGCGGTAGTTCCCCGGCGCTGGTGACAAGTGTTGCAGGAAAAAGATAAGCAGAAGAGAGGACTGTCGTCCTAGAACGAGGCCACAAGCACACACAGGAAATGGCTCATGAGGTGCCCAGGAAGGCAGAACCAGAAGGCAGCGCAATAGAGATGCTCAGGGGGCCGGAGCCATAGCACAGCGGGGAGGGCGTTTGCCTTGCATGCGGCCAACCCGGGTTCAATCCCCGGCATCCCATAGGGTCCCCTGAGCACCGCCAGGTGTAATTCCTGAGTGCAGAGGCAGGAGTAACCCCTAAGCATCACCGGGTGTGACCCAAAAGGCAAGAAAAAGAGAGAGAGAGAGAGAGAGAGAGAGAGAGAGAGAGAGAGAGAGAGATTCTCGGCCTATAGTCTCATTTGGACCAGAACATTTGGGTCCCAGAGGTACCCCCATAGGCCAGTCATGCCAGACCTGAGCTCCTTAGTTGGCAGCAAGATTTGGGAAGCCTGGCTCAGTTCCAAGATTTAGTAAATCCTCCATTCCAGCTCCATAACCCGCCATTCTGTTTTTTTGTTTTTGTTTTTGTTTTTGCTTTTTGCTTTTTGGGTCAGACCCAGCATTGCACAGGGGTTATTCCTGGCTCATGCACTCAGGAATTACTCCTGGCGGTGCTCGGGGGACCCTATGGGATGCTGGGAATCAAACCGGGTCGGCCTCGTGCAAGGCAAACGCCCTCCCCACTGTACTATTGCTCCAGCCCCAACCTGCCATTCTTTTTTATTTTATTCATTTATTTTTTTTATTGAACCACTGTGGGAAAAGTTACAAAGCTTTCAGGTTTAAGTCTCAGTTATGCAACGATCAAATACATTTCCCTTCAACAGTACTTATTTTTCACCACCAAGAACCCAAATATAACCCCCCCTCCCGCTACCCCTCCCAATGCCTGTGAGGCAGATGAATTCTACCTAACACTCTATTCTCCTTTGACTATGTTTATTATTTCGACAAAAGATGCACCATTGTTGTCTAGAGTTTACACCCAACAATCAGAACTGGTGAAAAGGCATCGTGAAATAATTTGTTTTCTGCGGTTAGTTATGAGAACCGTATGAAGTCGCGTGGCCACAACAGCGGCCGCACAAATTTGGATTTCTGATATTTTACTTATTAAGCTTGGAGGTATTTCGGCCAAGAGCCAGATAACTACGAGAATGGTATCTGTGGCTCTGGAGCCATGGTCGTGCTGGAGAGCCACTCGGGGGGCAACTCGTGACCTCAGTAGGGTGTGAAGGGTGAGCCGGGAACGCCCCCCTTCCCATGAGGTTTCAGTTGCCCCATCACTGCCGACTCATACCTGGCTTTCCAAGAAGCTCTGAGGAGGCCACCATCTTGCTGTCCAGGGGGAAAAAGGTGGAAGGCCAACCTGTCATTCTTGATCTTCTCCTTCCAGACCCAGAACCGAGACTCTCCTTTGGACATGAAACCCGTTAGCCACATAACAAGATTGACTCTAAGTGTTTCTTACTACCGTTACTCCAAAACACCTCTTCGAACCACCAAATGCCCTGTATTGCCCGAACACCTGTTTCTGCAGAGATGGGCGCTGGGTACCACGAATGATCCCCAGCATCCTTTGCCTCTGAACCCCATGGCCCCTGTCCTACACGCTGTTTGATTAAACAGGCAAATAACCAGCTGGTGATGCCGAATTTTGACGGGATTATGAGAAATGAGTCCAACCAGTGTGGGAATAAAAAGGCAGCGTATAAATAAACAAGACTGGGGCTGGAGCGATAGCACAGCGGGGAGGGCGTTTGCCTTGCACACGGCCGACCCGGGTTCAATTCCCCGCATCCCATGTGGTCCCCTGAGCACTGCCAGAGGTAGTTCCTGAGTGCAGAACCAGAAGTGGCCCCTGAGCATCACCAGGTGTGACTCAAAAAGCAATAAATAAATAAATAAGACGGGGACAGAGAGATAGCACAGCATGTAAGGTTCTGGCCTTGCACTCAGCCACCCATGTTCGATCTTCAGCACCACATATGGTCCCCCCTGGAGGCCCCCTAGGAATGATCCCTGAGAACAGAGCCAGGAGTAAGCCCCCAGAACTGCCAGGGATAGCTGAATACTGGGGCGTCATTCACATTTAGGTCATCATTAAGTTCTAGTAAGTCAGTTGGAGTGATAGCACAGCGGGTAGGGCATTTGCCTTGCACGCGGCCAACCAGACCAACCCCAGTTCGATTCCTCCACCCCTCTCGGAGAGTCCTGCAAGCTACTGAGAGTATCTCCCCTGCACAGCAAAGCCTGGCAAGCGACCCATGATGTATTCATATGCCAAACACAGTAACAATTAAGTCTCACAATGTTGTTACTTACACAGTAACAACAAGTCTCACAATGTTACTGGGCCCACTGGAGCAAATCAATGGGAGGACAGTGACAGTGACAGTGAAGTTCACCTGGAGAGTGTCCGAGGCTAGAATGGAAAAGGGTCCAGGGAACATTATGTGAGCCTGAAAAAGGCTGTATGGGCCAGAGCGATAGCACAGTGGGTAGAGCATTTGCCTTGCATGCGGCCGACCCAGGTTCAATCCACGGCATCCCATAGGGTCCCCCTAAGCCCCGCCAGGAGCGATTCCTGAGTGCAGGGCCAGGAGTCAGCCCTGAGCATCACCAGGTGTAACCCAAAAATCACAAATCACAAATCATCCTGTTATTCGTTGATTGCCTCGAGCAGGCCCCAGTAACGTCTCCTTCATCCTAGCCCTGAGATTATATTCAAGGCTCTTTAGGAGAATGAGACCCATCATTGTTACTGGTATTTGCATATTGGGTACGCCACGGGGAGTTTGCCAGACTCTGCTGTGTGGGCAGGGTACATTCGGTAGCCTGCCAGGTTGTCCAAAGCAAGAATGAGATAATAAGATGTCGCGCGGCTGCAAATGCTGCCGTGCGCTTCCGGGAGCTGGTTTTTATAGTCTCTGAGTCTTGGCCGCTGATGGGATTACACGGCGCCAGGGGGCCAGTTGGTGGGTGTGACCCCGGCCTACTGGAGTTTGGAGGATCTGGGTGGAGGATGCTCGGCCCAAATCCGAGTAGGCTTGGAGATCTCGGCCCCGGAACCCGCGTGGCTTTGTCCCTCTGCCAGTACCTTCATGTGTGCGGAGAGTGGTCTCAGCATGGTGGTGGCTGGTCCTGGAGGTCTTTGGCTGCTGGAGCCCTGGTCGGGGCGGGGAGGAAAGCTCAACCCCCTCCCCTCCAAGGGGTCCCGGC